TATTTAACATATTTTAGCGTTTTTATTTTACTTGAAGCTTTTTAACTAATGTTAAGCCCTAGCCTACCTACAATTGTTTAACTCATCTCAGTCCCTAACTTACCTATGAATTAAATTAAAGTCCGGTTCACGGTAAAGAAAATATAAAGTTGAAGAGAAACATAGCAACAACGACACCGAATGAATGGATGTTGTGTATGTATGTGTTGTATTGATGTGTGTGTATGTAAAAGGCGCACTCCAGAAACTTCACTCACTACCGACGAACCTCCATTGCACCGACCATCATCTGACACGCATCGATGGAATGAATTTGACCGGATACTGAAAAATAAATTGAAAAAAAAAATTCACTGAAATAAAAAACAAGCAATTGGAAAAAATAGGCAACTTATCTTTTTGAGATAACACTCAATCTTTGTTCAAATTCGAGTACTTTCAAAGGTACAATGAGACAAAAACAAATTTACCTTTAACATTATCATCGATTTGTCATCGGAACGATCATCATGAGACCACCATCTGAAACGTGCTGACGCCCACCACAGCCCACCTCTCATAATTCTGTAGACAAGTTTTTGTTAATTAGCGAAGTAGTAAATCAAGAAACAAAGGAACGAACGAATAAATGATTAACTGAATGATTGAACGATTGGTTGAATGGATAAATTAACTAATTAATTAATCAACCAATGATTTAATGAATGAATAGAATGAATCAATGAATAAAGTAACTGAGGAATAATTTGAAAGATAGTGATAAAATGAATGAATGAATGAGAAAAATAAAAAAAAGAAACTAAATCATACTTTAAAAATCGTCGTTGTTGTTATCTTCGAATTGTCATCGGAACGATCATCATGAGACCTCCATCTGAAACGTGCTGATGCCCACCACAGCCCGCCTCTCATCATTCTGTAGACATTTTTTTAATAGCGTGTTAGTAAATCAAGGAACAAAGGAACGATTGAATAAATGATTAACTGAATGATTGAATAATTGGTTGAATGAATGAGTGAATGAATGAATTAATAAATCAATGATTCAATTAATGAATAGAATGAATTAACGAATCAATTAATAAAAGAATAATTTAAAAGGTTGAGTGATAAAATGAACGAATGAGAAAAATAAAAAACGAAACTAAACCTTACTTCAAAAATCGTCGTTACTGTACTTTCCATTGCACCGACCACCACCATCTGGTCGGCACACAAAATACCATCCGAACTTCAGAGTGTCAGTCGAACAGCCAACGAGCTGATTCTTCCTACACCACCATCATCATATGTAAATCATCATGAGACCACCATCTAAAACGTTTAATGTATATACTGCTGACTCCCACCACTGCCCACCTCTCATCATTCTGTAGACAATTTTTTATTAGCGTAGCAGTAACTAAATGTTTGAATCTTAGAAGCAAAAAATTAAAAAATGAAAATAATGGCAAATAAATAATAACTGAAAATAATAAAGAGATTAAAATGTAAAAAAAAAACTTACCGTCGTCCATTCGACAAAGGCAGAATGTTGAATGCTTTCCGGTTCCTACGTTGTCTTCCAAAA